TCAAAGAAAACTGCAAGTGTGCAGGTATCATTTTGAATCTCTTGTGTGATTATAATATTCTCTTCCCACTAAGAACAATTTAGCTATATGGTTGGAATTACTGTGAAAAGTCTGCCAGGTGTGACCTGGAAACTCTACACCAAAAAAGACAAGAGTTGTGATGAACTTGAGGACGTAGACATGATTAGCTGCAGTTAGGATCATCTCCAGGGAAAGAGTATGAGTAAATCTTCTAAAGAACGTACCAAATGGAGCAAGATTTGTGACCGTGGGCTATCAATACTGAAGAATATTTAGCAGAGGCTGGAGTTAGGGCCTGGATAGGGCTCGAATGTATTCCTCCCAGCACTCATCACTCCATATGGGGACTGTTCCACACATTGGGATGGGTTCACCTCCTCTGGCAGCTGATAAGGAAAAGATTAATTCTCTAGCCAGATGGCAATAAGATCACAGACACCTTGGGTACAGAAGTTTTGAGGCAACATGCCACAGTACATTCAGGGAAATATTCTGTGTATTCTGGTTTCTTGTGGGTAAGGTGAGCAGATGAGTGCCAGGGACTTTCTCTAAGTGTTAAGTGCCCCAAAGTCACAGGAGGTGTGTGACACATTCTAATGTCAGGGTTTTCAGGAAGGCAGTGTATCAGAGAGCCCTGCTGACTGGTAGCAGCAGCAGCAGCAGCCCCAGCCCCTCTGGGGGAGCAGAGGAAAGGGAGCTGCAGGGAACAGAAGTAATACCTGAGCTGTTTATCAGAATACCAGACATGTACTTTCTGGTTGATTTGAGCATTAGCTGCCTGGCTTGGGCTTGGTTTGGTGGTTTTTTTTGCCTGAGTCCTTTTGAGAAACATTTTCCTTATGACTCAAAGAACTTTGATTATCTTGAATGTGTCTGAAAGGCACCTGGACTGTTACCTTGTTGCGTTGGAAGTGAAAAAAGGAAAACTAGGGGGAGCAAATAATTTAGTTATAAAGTATACTTTGATTAATTTTTTGTAGGTAATGTCAACTCTTTTTAGATTTTAGGCACTAAAGTCAATTATTTCCTTTCCCTTTGAAGATTTGTAGATTGTGTCCTGAAACCTTGGCTATGCTTCATGGAAGTTTGCTGCTCTCATTTTAATTGAACAATTAGATTAGAAAAATCTTGTAGGATGAAGTGTGTGTTAGTTTACCATTCCCCCTTGTCCTTCTGCAGAATGCCCCCACTAAAAAATTTGTTTACATCTTTCTTACAGGCCTGCTTTAAGTACTGAAAAGTCACAGTCAGGTGTCCCTGGGACCTTCTCTTCTCCAGGCTGAACAAATTTTACACACCTTTCCAATTCCCAGAGCAGGATGTTGTGGGTGACTGTGTCAAAGGCTTTACAGAAGTTCAGATAAATGACATCATTGCCTTGACCACTGATGTAGTCACTTCTACCATAGAAGGCCACTGGGTTGGTCAGGCAAGATGTGTCCTTGTTGAAGCCAAGGCTGTCCCAAATCACCTCCCTGTCCTCCACGTGCCTTAGCACAGCTCCCAGGAGGATCTGTTCTGTGATCTCCACAAGCACAGAGGTCAGGCTAACAGGTCAGTAGTTCTCAGGGTCCCCTTTTCTCCCATTTTAAAAATGGGTGCAATGCTTCCCTTCTGCCAGTCACCAAGAGCTTCACCTGATTGCCATGGCTTTTCAAATATCATGGAGAGTGATTTGACAACTACATCAGTGAATTCCAAGACTAGGATGCACCTTAGCAGGTCCATAACTTATTTATATTCAAATTCCTCAGGTGAGGAAAAAACCTGATCTCTCTTTTTTTACTGAGTTTACTAAGTTCTTATAGTTCTTAGAGTGTTCCACTTCTACCAGCAGAAGGCAAGTTGAAGACTTAATTATAATTAAGTATGGAAATGGAGGGAGGTGTTTGCTTTATTATAAAATACAGTGCTCTGGCATGTACCTACTCCTGCACATCTGGACTGCAGTCTGTGATGTGGCAGCACATTTCCTAACATACATAAGCCATGTGTTCCTAACACAGTTAAGCATGTGTACCAGGTTCTGCTGGCACTCAGGAGTTGGAATTGTGATGCTCACATACAATGACCTTTGCAAGACAACAGCTGTGAGCCTCCTTCTCCACAGTTTTTACCATCAAAAATGGTCTTTAGGAATCCCATGCCACTGATACCTGTAAAAAAGTCCAAATCAATAAAAACTTAGTGATGAAGAACTAGGCCACAGAGCACTTAGGCCAACTGGACACAGACAAGTCCATGAGACCACATAGGAAACACCCACAAGTGCTTAGTATAGCTGTGGAAGCTGGGTGGTTGCATTCTTAGTTATCCTTAAAAAGGTCATGGCAACTGGTGAAGGTTCCTAATCATGTGGGGAAAAAAAATGTCACTTCTACCTCTAAGAAAGACAAGCAGGAGAACACAGGAGTTACAGGCTGGCCAGTCTTACCTCAAAGCCTGGAGCAAATCCTTTTGAAGCCATTTCCAGATATGAAGGACAAGAAGGTGACTGGTTGTAGTCAACATGGATTTCTGAATGGGAAATCATTCCTTGGAGTGCTAATAGCCTTCTATAATGACTTGAAAGGCTTAATGAATCAGGGAAGAGCAGTGTATATCTCAACTTTAGCAAGGCTTTTGTTAGTGTCTCTCACAACATGGAACAGATTATTGGAACAGACCAGCTAAATGGGCATGGAAAACTGACTGAATTGCAATGCTCAAAGGGTTGTGATCAACAGCACAAAGTCCAGCTGGTGGCCAGTCACTACTGCTGTACTACTGGCACAGGTACGGGTCAGTACTCTTTAACATCTTCATTAATTACCTGGATGATGCGGACATGGTGCACCTTCAACTAATTTGCAGGAGATAAAAGACTGGGAGGAATGGTTGATGCCCTAGAGAGTTTCCTGATATTCAGAGGGACAAGGAAAAGCTGCAGAAATGGGCCAACAGGACCTCACTGTGTTCAGGAAAGGGAATGCAGTGCTGCAACTTGGAAGGAACAAACTGGGAGATGCCCAGCTGGAATGCAGATTTGCAGAAAATGTCGTGGGGCTCCTGGTGGACACCAGGTTAAACATGAGCCAGCAACATGCCCCTGCAGCAAGGGCAGCCAATGGACTCTAGGGCTGCATTAGGCAGAGCATGGCCAGCAGGATGAGGGAAGGGATCCTTTGCTATGCTCAGAACTGGTGAGACACACCTGGAATGCTGAGCCCAGCTCTGGGCTCCCCAATATGAGAGAGACATGGACTTATTGCTATGGGTCCAGAAAAATGTTATTAAGGTCATTAAGAGACTGAAGGATCTGTCATACAAGGAGAGGCTGAGATTGCTGAGGCCACTCAGCCTGGGGAAAAATGATTCTGGGGAATCTCAGCCATGTGCATGAATAACTGATGAGGTGTAAGTAAAGAAAAGGTAGCCAGATTCTTCTCAGTGGTGCCTAGTACCTAGTTAGCAAGAGAGGCAGGGGGGACAAGCTGAAACCCATGAAATTCCACTTAAGCATAAGAGAAGCAGTTTGCTGTGAGGGTGACTGCACACTGCACAGGTTGCCTGGAGAATCTGTGGAGTGTCCATCTCTGGATATATTCAGAGTCTGATGTGGCACAGTCCTTCTGTAGCTGATCCTGCTCTGGGACAAGATGGACTACGGGTGACTACGGGTGATCTCCAGGAGTTCCTTCCATCTTCAATGATAGAGTGACTCAGTGTGTCCGGATGTAGAGAAACACATTGTTCAAGGTGCCTAGCTAGTAGAAATACCACCAATTCAAAGGAACAAAAATGATAATATGGAGGGAAAATAGCACACTATTTGTCTTGGTTTTGACTTGGTATTGGAAATGAAAACACATTTGCAAAATAAAAAGGAAGCGTTTTAAAAACAATTTTTGTAAAAACCCTGAGTTGAACAACATACCTGATTGGAATTTAACAACTTCAAAACATGTTACTGTTGTAGTTTTTATTTCCAAAACCAACATGATTGTTTCCTTTAAGGTGGGTAGTCTAGCACTCAGGAAGTCGACAATGGACGAATTAGTTTATTCTTTCATTTTACGAAAAAGAAAGTAATAATGTTTCCATCTTTTATAAATAAAATTCAGACCTGAATTATAAACCGTATGGGGATATTTATATTCTCTGAACTGACATTTTTTCATTTATAAGGAATATGCTGTGATTAAAATAGTAATGGCAAAAGAAAGAAGAAAGTACTTGATACTCAATGCTTGTACCAACTTCTGTGTCACTGAAATTCAAGCCTTTAGCATGAATCCTTTTTTATTCTGTTGAGAACTCCTGTTTATTTTGTCACACCTAAAAAAATCAAGAAGGCTAATTGGCAACTAATTAAATATTAAGTCCCCATTCATTCTGCCACACATCAGTGACTGCTGAATAACAGCAAAGGTGGTGGGAGGGAAGAGAATACAAATAGCTGTTTGTAATGAAAGCTATCTGTTCAAGCCAGAACAGATATTGCTAAAATATTTGGCTATGGCAAGCCAGACACTTCCAGATCAGGTGCAGGAAGAGCTGCTGTGGACTGGAGTCAATGTGAAAAGTTTCCCTTGCTGAGAATTTATTTCAGTGGCAAATGTTTGCCTACTGAGTGGAGGAAATGTGGAGAGATAACCTTTTAAGTTCTGGATGAAGGGAGAAGGGAGAGAGGAGTGGTTGCAGTGCTAAAGTATATTCTGTGATGGTACTGTGGATAAGAAAAAAGCCCTCACTCAACTCTCTTGTCAATCTAAATGTAAGGATGTAGTTCTGTGTGTTTATGTAACAACTTCCAATGAAACTGGGTTAAATAAATTAGTGTTGATAATGCTTTCTTTTTGATCAAAATTTACATGAGCTGTTTGGGAAAACTCACTTTCTACTTGTTTTCAGCCACATCTGTACCAGATTGTACGGAGGCTGAGGGATCTGTACTTTTATTTCAATGTGTATTGCAACATTTTTATTGCATTCCACAGGTCCTCCAGTAAACGTTACTTGCAATATTTTTATCAACAGTTTTGGATCAGTCACAGAAACCACAATGGTAAGTGCTATGATGCCGTTGGCAAGAGAACAACAATACTTAATATATGTCATGAACACAACCTGTCAATTTTTCTATTTATTGTTCAACTTGCAGGTCCTCCTGTAAATGTTACCTGCAACATATTTATCAACAGCTTTGGTTCAATAGCAGAAACTACAATGGTGAGTGGGACTGATCATTGAAGCCATCTTGTGAAGGAGAGCGATGTGATGTAGAATAGAGATGCTCAGGATGTGCAGACATTTACTAAGTTATGAAGCTACTAAAAACCTACTAAAAACCTGAGTAAAAATAACATAAAATAAAAAAAACAAAATAAATATAGAAAAATTATATATATATATATATATATATATATATATATATATATATGTATGTATGTATATAATTAAACTCACCTATCAAGTCTAAACACACCTACATGGGGACTGCACCACAGTCTTTAGTGACTGTAATGGCAGCAAATACAGGTGTGTGCAGACCTGCTTTCTCAGGTTTCATTAGCTCTGAAGAGGCAGAGGAATGGCTAGAGCTCAGCTGTGGGTTTCCCTGCCAAGTGCACCATATTTGAGTGTGCTTTAGACCACATGCTGAATCACCTGCTGCTGCAGAAAATGGTCTTGTTTAACAGAGATAGATCTCTGTGAATTGCAGCCACATCAGTCACAGAAGCAAGTGTAAAACTTGAGTCAAATGACTAGAACATGTGGGTATAAGACTTAGGTATTTTGAGGTTAAATTAGTACTAGGAAATTATGGGATTCCACCTGACTGAATGTTGTCTTTTGACTGAATGCAAAGAACACAGTCAAAAAAAAAAAGGTCACATTTTCATTTTTAAAATTTCAAAATATAGGATAACCAAAATCAAGCTAAGAAAAAAATAAAATCAAAATGTTCATCCAACTTTTTAAAAATAAATCTTTTAGTCTAGAAGTCTATCAGTCTATTAACTTTTTTCAATATTTGCTAAGAAAAAAGCCTTCAAAACTTTTCTGATTTCATTTAAAAAGATGCTGAGTTTTTTAATCTTTTTCAAAAGTGAATAAAAAGGATCTGGGTTTTATTCAAGCTGACATACTCCTGACTATGGGAGTTAATCCACAGATATATTTTTGACAAATTTATCATAATAATGTGATTAAACCCATAATAATTATTAGGTGCTCATATCTATGGTACTTTTGAAGTATACTTTCAGTATAGTTTCACAGCTCTGTTTTCCAGAGGTTCCTACACAGCACCCAGGTTTTTCTGGATTTGCTGAAGCCAGAGGCAATAAAGGTGCTTGGCTTCCTGTAGGACTGAGAACTTGCTAATTAATAATGGATTGCTGCGCACTTGAAGTAAACCAAAAAAGTAGCTTTTTTGTAAGATGGAATAGATACTGCCTTGCAGGCCTTGCATTATGAAGGAAGATCTTTAGCCTGACTTATGTATTTTGTTTAATATTAATTTAGATTCAATTGTAACTCAAGCCATCATTTTAGTAAGTGGTGATTAAAGAATGTAGGAACACAAATCTTCTGCTCCTAAACAATTTTATTTAAAAAACCCACCCTGTTACTTAATGTTTTCTAGAGATAGAAGGCAAGTTATTGCTAGGCTGGCTTGCTTTCTTCAACAGTGTGGGAAAGACTTTGCTATAAATGACAATGCATACAGAACTACAAAAACAGACAGATAAGTTAATGCTTTGGACTATGTATCTGTAATACTTTAAAAACACCTTAAAAGAAAACTTAAATAGCTTTTAAAATGACAGGGAAATAAACACATCAGGATGTTACATAATTATCAACAGACTTAATTTTCATTATTTTTGGAAACCATTAATTGTTTTCCTGTGTTTTAAGGATTCGGAGAAGATAGCTGTGAATGTAACATTTTTACCCAGCCACGTCTGTTGATCCTAGCATGTAGAGACATCAGCATAGCATTAAGTAGCAAAATCCTGCACGTCACTAGCTTTACAAGATGGCATTCAATGAAAATATTTGCACGACCCAATGCTGATTGCATTAATTAGACTCCTTCATTGCTTTGATTAAATCCCCTCATTGCATTTTACCTTCTATCAAATATGTTAATGTGTACCTTTCCAATGTTCATTAACACATTTTGCTGAAAACAGCCAAACTTGCAAGTAGATGAAAACAAAGACTATTGGCTTTCTTATTTTGCTTTGTTCATTATATCTGCTGAAAGTGTGGAAAGATTTCTCTAAGATGCTGTTCACTTATTTGATATTGATTTTCTTAATGTTGTCACTTCTTTAATGACTATTGTGACTAGTTTTAGGAGTCTGCTCTGAGAGGCAGACATCAATTGCTGTTCCAACTACTTTGCCTTTCTGAAATACATATAATTGTGTGGTAAAATGGTTGGCATTCCTTGTGATAAATAACAAGTTTGTTTGACTCCTAGGAATCATTTTTCCCTATAAAATGCTCTTGATGGTTTTGACATAAAACTAAGTGATTAATTTAAAAACCTGGATTGCAAATTCAATAGAGACACTACTGTCTCAGGGGAGAGGAATGCTTAGTGAAACCATGTATATACACTGAAGGGATATTATCATAATATAACTTGGACCATCTACAGCAGTTCATTGGGAACTTGGAAGATGAAAATGTGCTCAGGGAAGCTTTCAGGAGGAGAAATTAACATGGCAAACAGGATTACAGTCCCAGACCTACTAATTTCACTAACATTATCAGGAGTAGTTTCTATCCTCTGATTAAGACACACAGTACAGGATAAAATTCCTCCCTATGTGAAAGGCCAGCACAACTCCAATATCCAGCACACTCTTCTAAAAACTAAAACTTTACATTAAGAAATAAACCTGGGATTTTATGCTGATCCAGATGGATGAATTCCAAAGACTCTTCATGAGTTTTATTCCCAAAGATCTAGAGAAACAAAATGCAGATGTAACAGTCTTTCTGCTCTATAATGGACATATGGGACAGTATCCCAGTAGATTTTTTTTTTTCCTAGAAAATAAATGTTTATTTTTCCTTTATTGAATGATATATGTTATACCAAAATGAAAATAGAGAAAAAAAAAAAAAAAGGCCAGAGTCAAGATGACATAGTTGAAAATTTTCTTTGATTTGTCTTTAATTTAAGCCCTAACTTGCAAAGAAAGAGAAAAAGATTTTTCTGAATAACTTCACTGATAAAGGAGTTATGAGAGTAAACTCTGTATCTATTTTTGGAAGTATTTACACATGCAGTATTCAGCAGAAAATTCACTGTACAGCATGACTGCAGTTGAGTATCACAGATGAGTAATCTACATCAGCCTGGGCAGCATCCCAAACAATTCAGATGTTCAGTGTTCCTAATGACCAGGATTTTTTAGCTATCAGCTGTAGGAGAAGTTAAGAGAGGTTTGAAAATTGACAAGCTAATTGTTAATTATGAAAATGACTAACTGTGAGGACATTCTTATTGTTGCTGTGCCCTATAATCAATGACTGACACTATGCAGCAGGTTCTCTGTTAGGGTAAATGATCCAAACTCCAGTTGTGTTTTGAGTACTTATGTTAGCAGAAAAAATTGCCATTTCTTAATTTTACAAGCTTTGCTGTGGGTGGCTGTATGATACTCTCTCCCATTTAGAGGGAAAAACCCCATAATTACAAATAAGCTTATTAGATCCTTATTAATTCACATGTATACTTTTAACTAAATAAAAGGCTCCCACTGAAGCCATTGGGGACACACTGCATGCTTATACCCATAAGTAGTAAAGTGCTTTTTCTGTTGCATGGCCTTGGAAAAGGTCATCAAACCACTGCTTTTCAGTTAGCATTTACCTTTAGGATTTAGACAGAGAGAGAGAGAAGTCTTCTTTGGCAAATGCCTCCTATTCATGGAAGGCCAGCTAATTCTGCTGTTTGCTTCAGACCTCCAACTCAACTCCTGGGCAATCACTGCTGTTGGAGGGGAAGCTGGGAATCATGGAAGGCCAGCTAATTCTGCTGTTTGCTTCAGACCTCCAACTCAACTCCCTCCCTGTTGGAGGGGAAGCTGGGAGGAAAGCTCAGACAAGTGGGGGTTCAGAGACAGAAAGTGGCACCGAGCAGGGCAGGGGGCTCCCCTGCACTCCTGCCACAGCAGTGCCTGAGGCCAAAGGGATCCAGGGCTTTGCTCTGTGAATCTGGATTTAGATATGCTGAAAAATGATATCTATCTACATTCCTATAACATAGATTAAATATATCTGTGGATCAAGTCCCTAAATCTTCAGATAGAGCTACTAAATCTAATCAGATTAATATTCTTTCAGTATGTTTGTATTGCTGCGAGCTTACGGCTTGAGAACATAGGAAAACTGTTTATCTGAGTTGCCTTGAGCCACTGCTGACACTGGTAGTGCATCTGAGATTGAATCTTCAGGTCCACACTTCTTGTTCAGTGGTGATGCTGTCAGAAAGAATTTGCAGAGTAGGTGTACTTGTGGTTGTGTAGGAGTGCTTTACTACAGCACACCCACTCCTACCCTCAGGACCTCGCCAGATACACACTGTAGTGTGCCTCAACTCCATGTTGTTCTACTATTCTCAAGAGAATTTTCCTTCAAAACATAGTTATAGTGGTAGCTCAGGAAAAGTAAATCAAAATTCTGCACATGATTCGGTCTGACTGTGTAAACACACATCCCTCTCAACTGCTTATACAGCAAGCATAGGAGGAAAAAGTAATGCTGTTCTTGTGGTGAGCATGTTATATTTAAATTTTTATTTCTCATTAAAATATCTATACATATATATACAAAGCCTATCAGATATAAACAAAGCTTTCAGTTCTGTTTTGCTTCTAACAACAAAGCTTGCAGAGGGAAAGCATTTCTAAGTGTATTGGTGTGATGACTGACAAATTTATGAAGGGACATATTGAAAAATACAGGGTAATCTTATTGGCACTATTTATGATTTTGGTATAATATATATTTTCATGTGAAATCCCTTCTATGAATAAAGATTTTTCCAGGCAGTTTTTTATTATCTATATCACCAACCACTGAAGTTCATCAAAGCAATTTTTTAGATATTTCTATATAATTTACTGATCTGACTTACTTATGATTTCTATGTAATGGGGGGAAAAAATCCCTCTGTTTTCCATAGACTTCATTATATATCAAATCACAATGAAGAATTAAAGGCAGTCTCACAACTAGTTGTAGCAATTTTATTCTGTCAGCAGTTGCTCTGGCCTTCTTTTCTGCAGAATTCGAGTCAGTGCATTCCTGGATTTATAGCTAAAGCTGTCCCATATAAACTCTGAGACTCATATATACTTAAAGATAAATATAAGCTTAAAGACACATTATAAACATAAGAAACTCTCAGTTTCTAATACCAAGAAATAAGGGATAGTATGATTATGGATGGTGTATCCTCACAAGACGTGATGACATTTTATAAGCTCAGAACTGCAAGTAGCTATTTGATATTTAAATGTCTGAAACAAGAACAACATAAAAAGTACAATGACTTGTAAAAAATAGGTACAGGCTTTTGTAAGTATCTTTAATAAATGCTATTCCTGAGACCTCTCTCAGGTCTGTCTTGCTCTGATTAGTCAACATTCCTGTTTGGAATCACATCTCCCCAAGAGCAAAAGGAAAATGAAAAACAAAGAAAGAAAAGTTATCCACCTACTGAGATTGTAAAGCATCTTCCCACTGGGTTCAAAATCTGCATCAGTTTGGATGTCAGAAATATTCTGCCAGGGCAGCAGCACACCTCACTGGCACCCCATGGAGAAATGGGGGCGAAAGCTGAAGCTTGGAGGGGCTTGTTCAGAGTCTCCATATTGGGCAAGCTGCTTTCTGCAGCTCTGATCAGTGAGAATATTTATCTACATTTCAAGGGTGATAACTTCTTTTCTATGCAGTTCAGGTACCTGACTAAAACCCAACTAGCTCATACATTTTCCAAGTCAAAAGCACAGTGTTGCCATTTTAATGTGCAGCTGCAAATCCTAAATGTTAATGCTTTGTAGTATCAGCAGAATTACTTGATAAAGAATTCCTTCAGATAATACAATCAATACAAATATTATTAAATATTTTTCTTTTAGATGAAGAGTAGATGGTATTTCTAAGAGGGCACTCATAAACAAATTAAAAATGGTAATTTCAGAGAGATTAAGATCTTATTTGTTGACTTTGGAAACCTGGGATATGGAGACTGAGCATTTATTTCCACTCCCTGCAGAGAATTTAGAACCTGAAAGTTCTTTTCACACTCCCCTTTAATAACCAGTTCTTGACACCATGTTAATGGTGGTTCTAAATGAACCTGTAAGTAATTGCTGCCCTTCCCACTTGTGCCTAGCAGACCACCAAGCGGACGAATACAATCAGGCCAATTTTAATGGGATGAAGACAGGGAGGAGTAAATGAAGGAACGTACACAGAAATCATGCAGTGAATAGGAAAAGGAAACAAGTAGTAAATAAGAAGTGGTGATTTAATTTCTACTATACAATTTTGGCTTCACTGGAATTAAAAACTATTCATGAGTACATTAGACATAAATGACTTACATATTAGAATAAATTTATTTAAATTGGTAATTTTCTAGCATCTTTGATGAAATTGTATATATTTAGCTGCAATATCTCTTACAAATATCTCTTAGGTAATCCACAACATTTGAAATAGGGTTACATTTAATTGTGGAGATTGTAGTTAATATTTTTCTCATCACTGAAGGAATTTTGATTTGGAAAATGTACCAGTTGTGTTTATTTGGTTCAATGCAGCACTTTGACAACTTTATTTTCAAATGACAACTCTGATGTTCAAAGGATAACACAAATGTTTGCTGTAATGGTATTGCAGTATATCTAAGAACATAAAGCAAGCTAAAGTGGGCTTCCAGTTTTGGTGGCTTAGTAACCTGTTTACATGACATTTCTGTAGGACTACAGAGTGAACATTTTTTTGAGGCAGCAGTGGAATGATTCACGTCTGGCTTACAGCGAATATCCTGATGATTCCCTGGATTTGGATCCCTCTATGTTGGATTCTATTTGGAAGCCAGATTTATTCTTTGCCAATGAGAAGGGAGCAAATTTCCATGATGTTACAACAGACAACAAGTTGCTGAGGATTTCTAAAACTGGAAAGGTGTTGTACAGCATCAGGTAAACCAGTTAATTTTATTTTTTTTTCTCTTCATCCCTTTCTTTCCCTCCCTGTTTTTCTGGATGCAATGTAAATGTTTAATTTTTTGTTGTCCCATGTGTACAACTAAAATGAGACTTAGTAATAGCAAGGTGGAAGGAAAATTTGCCTATGTTTCTTTGCTAACATTTTACTTTTTGCAAAATAGTCTCTAAGTGGCACAGTGGTCTTGTTGAAAACCTGAGGCTGTCTAGAACTTTAATGGTATGCCCCAGTAATTCCCATTAGCATTAGCTGAAGTCACTCCTCTTGCAAAGAGGAAATCATCTCTTCAGTAGTCTGTAGGTTGCAATTTAAAAGTAAAGGGGAATATTAATTTAAATAACTGCTTAACACTTTAAGTAAAAATATGCTTGAAATGCAATAAATTTGACATGCAAGTCACTGGTTAATTGGATGTATCTAGTCACATTAAAAAAAAAAAAAAACACCTGGAACTATGGAAAGCATTTGCTTTTTTTAGTACTAAGAGCACTGAAGTGTGTGTCATGTGACTAGCTTTAGCTGAATTAATAAACACTGACAAAATATGATTTGATATGACCTGATGAAACAGGACATAAGCAGAAAAACAAAATTGCATTCCACAGGCATAAATAGCAGCAAACAACCTGCTGTATTCATCTGACATTCAGCTTACTGTGAGACATTGATTGCTTAATAGAAGTAGCCAAAGATGCAAAATACTCTATTATTGCTCTTAGGATTGTTTAAAATTAAGTAATTACAGGAGTTTTTTTCTTCCTGGGGATGGTTCTTGATTTTTTCCTTTCTTGCACTGTGGAAAGTAAACATGATAGTATTTGTTTAGCAAGTTGTTTAGTGAATTTGCTCATCTGTAAAGCAGATTAGTTTAGAAGGCAGTTATTTCTGATGGGGTATTGTGGTTTTGACTGCATTTTCATTAAGGAATTACTATTGATCCAGGCTTGGGTACTCTTTAGGATGTTAAGTAAATAAATATTAGCATGGAACTTCATCCACTTACATAATTCTTGTGGAAATTCCTTGATAAGAGCCCAGTAATATTTGGACAGGTGAAGCAGGGTTACTGAGCAGGGTTTCAAATTGTTCTACCTGAAGGGTTTGAGAAAAATAATAGGATACAAGGATGGTACCAGCACTAGCAGAGTGATAAATATGCTGTCACTTACAAATATTTCCTGTTTCACCCTGAGAAAGAAATGAATGCATCTGTTTGTCTGAATGACATCAGACACCATCTTACTGGAGGAAACAGTGCAGTTGGATGATGCTCTGGATGCAGATGGATAGTTTTCCTGACATTTGGTCATGCAGCAAAAGTGGTATTTTGAGCTGCCATATCACATTTGTAAAATTCCCACACGTAAATGAAAATTAATTTGAAGCAGAGTAAGGAGAATTCCAAGAGAACACTGAGCAAAGCTTTTCACTTCTCACTTGTATCACACAGCAGTAACAGAGTAACCCGGCACATCGAAGGTGACATAGAATTTTTTAGCACTTTCTGGAGTACGGAAACTGGAAATCAAGAGCAATTAGAAATACTTGTCTTTACTCTCTAAATACTGGGCTAGATACTTCTATTCGATGCCAGCTTCTTGTAGAAGAAACAAACAATAATATTTTAGTGATTGGTTTCAGTACATTGGGAATGTTCACTACTGCACCAATAGCACTTTGCCTGCCATTGTGATATTTAACATTTAGCATTTAGTGTGCTTTAAGTGTTTAAAGCACTTCACAAATGCCTCTGGGATGTAGCAGGTAGGCTGTTTTGTCGTATTTTCACATTTAACAAAATCAAGATCAAATTAATACAAAAATACAAATCTGTTCTTTGCATAAAGTGACTTTAGAAGTGCTCCTGGTAATTAATGGGCAAGAAGCAAGGTGTGTGTATTACATGGCAGTGGTATCCCTCTTCCCCATATACTGCACCCAAAACATGAAAATACCCCATGCAGGAGGCTGAACTGCCTTGTGCTGTTAGGTGCTCTCAGAGGCCAAACCTGCCCTTTCTGAGCAGAACTTGGAAAGTCATCTGAGACAAGAGTTCATGGTCCATATTTTGCTGAAATGAGACATTTGGTGTAGGATATGGGTGCTCAGAAAAATCATGAAAAGGTGAGTGATGTTCTGTGCCATGTATCACCTCCTCTGCAGTGCTTGGCTATGGGAATTATCTCACCCTGTGGTAAGCATGAGGGTTTCATCCTTCTCCTATATAGCTGGTCAAAGAAACAAGCCTAACACAGCACAGAAGAGGCATAATGCAGATTGCCATCAGAGTTTGCCTTATAATAATCATGATGCTCATACTTGCACATTCCTACAACTATATTTAATTCCTTGGGAGTTGTTACAGAAAACAAAAACTTGTTGATGGTTGATGCACCCACCTCTGAATCATAACTTTAGGAATCCAACCCCATTTTTATATGTTTTCTGCATGCTCAGATGATTACCTTGATGCCTTTTTTGATCTCAGATAGCATGCTGTGTACAGCCTCAGGCTCTGTAGCTGGGTAACTGCTCTGCACCTTTGGGTGCTGCAGGGAAAACCAGAGCATTGTGGAGAGAACCCAGAACTACTTAGTACTGCAAATATATGCTATTGCCACTGGAGATGGAGCAACAGCTCTTAGAGACACCTGCATTTTGAGAAGTCTGCAATTACAGCAGTTACATTCAGCAAGGAACTTCACTTTAGTCAAGATCAGTCTCAGTTCCACTCATATACAGCAATTGAAAAACTGTTAAATAGCTATAACTTTTATTTTAAAGCACTCTGTAGAGAGCAGTCAACAAGAAATTTGTAATAGCAGTGTTGAATAAATTAGTTTGTGTTTATATTGTGTGCTAAAAAACCAGTAAGAGTTCAAATGATAACCTACACAGTTTCACCCCCTCGATACTTGTGACTCATCTGCTTCCAATCCTTGACTGATTTCTGCATGGATTGGATTTTGGAGGGGGTTCTGCCCTTGCAAAGTGTTGCAGCACGGTGTGATGGTACCAAGAGTCCTGCTGCAGTCACTCACATTCTGTGTGGCACCTGCATTTTGCATTGCACACCCCACTGCACGGGCTTTATGTTCCACGGACAAGGATTGTGCCTTCTCTGCTCCCTGAGGACCCCTGGGACATCAGGAAAATGCTAACTAAACTCACAGAAGGCTTTATATTCTCTCTGAGCCACCCATTTGTACTACCTGATTCCCACAAACTCATTTCAGGCTGCCAGCCAACTCAGAATATAAGCATCTGCCTAAAAGCTTATTTTAGCAAAATGATAGAAAGTGGTTTTATTTAAGGTTTGTGGCTTTTTTTTCTGCATTAATTGCCTCCTTCTCTTTTTAATATTTTTTGTGCATCTCAGCCATATGAGATTGATCCAGAAAGTGATATAATTCAACCGTAATATTGATCCACAGCATTGAATCTAGAATATATTGGTCAGGAATGTAAAATGTAAATGACATTGTAAAAAAAAAATTAAAAATATATATATAATATATATAATTTTTTTTAACTTGCTGCTTCAGAAAACACTCTCAGTTGAGCTTTGCTCTGAATTGTAGTGCCAGTGTATTTAGCCAGAAATAGTTACAAAGCAGATTACTACATATTTTTAAATATGAGAAGATTTTAGAATGTGTTGCATGATTTAACAAGAAAGACACTTGGAATTCTAGGGAGGAGATCTGTGAAAATTTGCAAATTACATTTCTTTTCCTATTTTTGCTATTCCTGTTCAAAGAGCAATTAATTACTTAGGAAGATTTTCCTCAAGTCTTTCAAAATGCCTGTTTTTCTGTCTTTCCTTTTCTTCCCAGTGCCAGAACTCTTAGTTATGTAGACAATTAGTACCTTGTGGTTTCAACTATCGACCTAGTTTTAATTGTAAATGTTGCTGTGGCTGAGGGCAGAGTGCCTGTTTGAAAGCACTTCTGTGCTCTGGGGCACTGGAAACAGAGAAGGCTCAAGCTGTTGGATTGCTCAGTTTGTGAAGCTGTTCTGGGAATGCTTACCAGCCCTCCGTTCCACAACAAGGAGCTGACAGGGCAGTAGGTACATCCCACCAGTGGGAGCTGGTACCTCCCCAAGCCCTCACCTGCTTATGCAAGCCAAGAGACCTCTCTGTGAAACAGTAAATCTATTTAAAACACTGCCTCCCATGCCAGCTGCCTTGCTCAGGAGTTCCCAAAATCAGCTCTTCCTGGTGTGGCCAAGCACTGAGGGACAGAGCACTGAGTCAACTCCCTCCTGCACCCCCACGACCCCACACAGGTCTAGGTGTTACATCAGGAGTTATGATTGCCATGTCCGTCATGTAAATCATCAGATGTAATCCATGACACTTTTATAACCCAGTTTTTCTGAGAGGAACTTCTGTGTTTTGTAGTCTCCTCTGTAGTCGTGTTCTTTACCCACTGGCAAAGAAAAGCAGGTTAAGGAAATACATAGGTAGCACTGCTGATCCCTCTGCAACAGACTGCTGATGGCAAAAAGTTCACTATCCTTCTGAAATGTATTGCTTTTAAATAAGATACAGTCTGGGATTTTTTGCATGGCTACTATAGAATATGTTGTCATGTTGCAGTAAAGTCAGGTGTAGGTTTTCTAAAACAATTTTGGGGTACAGACTTTATCAGCTAAACAATATTGAGGATCCATTTATACCCATTTACACCATGGATGGTGTAAATCATCCATGTCCCAGCACAGTCTAGCCTAGCACAGTGGTAGAAATTTTTATATTCTACAGCCCTGTTTGCATTCTGTGCTTTAATTTGATGATTTCAATTTTATTTTACAATCTAGTGTTGGGATTTAAGAGGATTTGGACTTGACTAGCAGCATTGTCTTTCCATGTGACAGATTGGCAGAGGTGGGATCACGGAGACATTTATCACAATTGACATGTCTGTTTGCTTATTAAACTGCCACCTCACACAAACATATCTATTACCCC